TATCATATATATTGAAATTCTCTCTCATTACATTAATATTGATAACTAATATTAACAATTTACCAGTTACTGAACGACAACGCATGTTTCGAATGAATTACGAAGAAAGGAGGCAAAAAGAAAGCATGCGGTTCTTCTAACGGCTCGCTGTTCGTTCGCTCTCGAGGAAGGCTCTCACCGCTCTCGCACATGGCAGTAAAGAGATTTTAACTATTCATTGTTCCGGTAATAATAGGAGCGAAATGGCCGCGCGCAGTCTAAAGAGGCGCGAGCCTCACGGTGGAGCTCACGGGTAAAGGATCCTAAGCGAGTTAATATCTCTAATTATGACCGGTTATAAAATTACACCCTTCGCGCACCCGGGTAGGAGTGACCGAACGCGTTCCGGGCAGATCGTAAATTTTCTCTAAAAACGAAGAGGGGACCATAGCCGCCGCCGCTGCCGCCGCCGTTGATGCCGCCACTGCCAGAATTTCAAGTGCGCTTTGCATCCCGAACAGATTATCAGCTTTTAAATCTTCAGGGTGGTTTGCTTGGCGTAAATCAATTCGTGAATCTTCGTCTCAATTTCTGCTCGAAATTGCACGTCCTTGAAGATCATTAAGAAGTAATAAACATCACGTAATCGCGAAAGAGTTAATATAGTTTAAGAAAAAAAGTGAGCGTTATCTCGGCGCTCAATGTAACTTGACATTATCAAATCGCTTAATGTAGATCAAAAGATTTATTATTACGAGCAGAATTTTCAACAATTAATGAAATTTAGAAAATTGACTTTTCTTTCAACATTTAACATTTAATAAAATCTAAAAAAAATAATTTTTTCTTAAATTAAATTTAACACAAAGTTTTAAGTTATATTCCAATTACCTTCTAATATATTAAATGTATAAAATCTCTTCATTCAATCGTATAAATCTATTTTCTTCGCTCAATAGATTGAAATAAATTGAAATTATAAATAAATTGCTTACAGTAATATCTTTTCCAATGTAACGTGACATTTTCGATAGTGGATTATTGCGAAAACGCAAAGGATAAAATAAAAATATCGTACCTCAGTATTTGATTTCGCAGTCGTGATTAGGACGGATCGAACAAGCCGCAAAGCCGTTTAATCTTAATTAAATCTCTCACAGCTATCTAATGTTGCATGTACGCCGAGTATCCTGAATCTTCCTAGAAAATTGCATCCTATTGCAGTCTATTATTCGCGGTAACCCTGCTGAGCCACGCGAGCGAGAGTGCCGCGGCGGTAGTAGTAGCAGCCCTAGATAAGACCCCGCGTCGACTGTATCTCATAATATAAATCCTGTTATCGAAAGCCGTGAAAGGAAACCACGCGTTGCACTTGCAGCTTGGAAACGTAACGTGTTTCGTCCGAGATAAATTGAATTCCCGCCTTTACGCGATTATCGCTCTTGACTCCTCATTCGCATTCTTAATTAATATCTACCTTCGTCAGTTTTCTAATAAAGCTATTTTTTGAAAATATCTCGAACTACAATACGCTTACTTTTGATGTACAAGAAAGATGTATATACGTTTAACTGTTTTTTATTAACTGTGAAAATAAAATAAAATATGAAATAATATTCATATATTTTTCAATTCTAAGTTATTTTAAAATGACACGAATTTTAAGTCCGAATTAATTTCAAAATCAAATTTTTCTGCAAAAATTTCAACCTTTTATTTAACTACAGCCTTGTATCGAGGATTCAGGGTGGCGCAAAAGGATGGGCAATTACAAAGCGCGGTCATTAAATTTCGCGGATGTCTTATGGACCGGTCCGGGGCTGCGCCAAATTGGAATTGCGTGATTCATTAGGGATTACCTTACGAGCTGTAAATAACATTAGGGAATCGTAAATTCGCGGTCGTTAAATAAACGCTCGCGGCACGTCCGCGATCGGGCGACAAACGGTTGTCCGTAGGCTATACGTTCGCACGAGGTCCCTCTCCCCCCCCCTTTTAACAGCAGCCTCGACACGTACGTACCATTCTCATCAGGGTAGGAGGAGAATCCTACACGGACCGACGCCAGAAACGTTTTCCTGGTGCGCATCCCGCCCGTCGGTGCATGCATATGCATTCGCCGCACGACACATTGTCGCACGTCAAAGAGGAATCCGTTCGCGGAGAGTTATTCGCTTTCGGCCTAAGAATACCTGATTTCTCTTATTTCATCCATTTCAATTCTCGAAAAGATAATTCAGGTGTAGTAAAGAAAGTTTAATTTCAATTTATAAATGAATTAATAAATGAAATCTCACACACTTTCAAAAACGAACTCAAAGCTGGATGTAAAATCTCGGATGAAAAGAATGATTTTATTGAAGTATCTCAAAATTTAGTCAGATACAGATCTGAAAATAATTTTATTACCATCAAAATAATTATGTAGGAACCTGAAGCATGATTGAGTAATGTTGCATAAAATTTTGACATCCTTAGCAACCAAATTGAGCATCCTACATAATTATTTTGATAGTAATAAAATTATTTTCAGATCCGTATTTGGCTAAATTTTTAGATATTTCAACAAAAACTTTCTATGCAGAGATTAATTTCATTTTAAAAAATCATCTCCGAATTTTCATCATAATATCTGTTGCTAAACTGCCTATTATGTATATACATATTTGGGGGAATCCTATATATAAAAGTACAAGCTGAAAAAGTAATCAACACTTTGCTCAATAAAATTTAATTAAATCATTATTAATATGGCGTGTAATGAGTTCAATAAGCCGTGAAGAAGCTCGTCTCTTTCTCGGTTGCTTTCTCTCTAATAATCACCGAATATCACGTTCGAAAAACTATAACATTAACTTTGACTCGCGAGGTCCGCGACACGACAGTTTTCGATATTTTTCTAACGCCTCGACATGTCGAACCGCGACAAACACAATCGCTGACGACGATCTAAGGCGAGACGCAATTGTTGCGGAAAAACAAGGCTCGGCCAGCGACCCTCAATATGTATGCTGACCACGTCAACATTCATTCGCTTGCACTCGTCGCGTTTGAATTCCCAATAGAAAGTGCGTTCGTTCGCGCGACTAATTTGCACTCACAAAGGAGATCTCGCGAGGATTCATCGGTCGACACATGCGTGCACGCGGCGGCGGCGGCGGCGGCGCGACGTAGCTTCCGCCTTTCTAAGTGCATGCAAATTAATCGATTTGATCGAGACGACGGATGCGGCGGCCCCGGCAAAATAAGCGCCGTGCATTTCTAATGCCCCATGGGAAACCGACCCCGTCTATTATTGGAGGTATTTAATTGCCGTACACGTCGAAGACGCTTCTACGAATAGAAGTGGTAGAAGTAGCATTTGGAAAGCTGACAAGAGCTTCGAGCTGTAGAATTAATAGTCCGACGATCCGAGTGAGAAATCAATTAATTGGTATTTAATTCAGATATATAGTAAAAGTCAAATGCATAAATGTTTCTCCAACAAATCTACGGAGAAGAATAGTGAGAATATAAAAATAAAATGTTAACCGCACATAACTGTACACGGAGAGAATTTTATTTTAAAATTTATTCTGAAAATTATGTTAATCATAGGACAACATAGTATTTCGACGAATTTTATATGATTTTCACTATTTTTTTAAATATGTACTACAACAAATTTATTGTAATGCACAGTAAAATTTATTGTAGATGTACAGTAAAATTTGTCGAAATACTATGTTGTCCCACGATTAAGAAATTTTCAGGGTAAATTTTAAAAGGAAATTCTCTCCGTGTAGAAACATTATTAAATTGTGTTATAACGAATAAAATAATAACGATAAATATAATCATAATTATAATCATAATTCCCTGATATTTGATTTAAAAAAAACGAGTAACCGTTAAATTTTTCGACGTAAACAAGTTATAGTACTTCAACAGGATCGTTCTTCCGGAAATATACGAATTCAGAGAATCAAATTTTCGAATCTACGGGAGTTTGCGCAGCAAATTCTGCGGGACGTATTGCCGCGGAGCGAATAGAGGATGCGCGAGCGTACTTTCACAGAAGCAACCGAGTGCAAAGGTCGTTCTTCATCGGCAGAGCTGCGACGAGCAACAAAGTTCAGGCATTCACCGTCATTGCAATGATCTCCGGAGAGTGTGCACCTCCATGCGAGAACGAAGGGAAGGGGAGCTTGATAGATAAGGATGCAATGACGGTGAAATGTCTTGTGGATGCTCCTTTCACCCTTCTGTATTATTATATTTTTATATAGACGCAATCTTTTTCTATCGTTAGGTACTGTGAAGAAGATATAATCGGCCGTGAGAAACCGATTACTATTATTTTACTAAATGCGAGAATGATTGGAGAGAAAACACATTACGATTTTTCTATGCCAGGTACAATAGTATTATTATTATTATCGACTTATGCTTAATTATTCTTCCTGTGTATTTAATTGCTTTTAAATTTAATTTTTTTATTTTGCTTTCTTGTTGCCTCTCTCATAATTACTATCATAATTATTTTTCTGCGCAAATATAATAGTATTATTATTGCTATCGACCTCAATTAATTATTCTTCTTGTAATTTAATGATTTTTAAATTTCAATTTTTAAGTTGCTTTCTTGTTGCTTCTCTTGTAATTAATATCAAAATTAATGTACAATTTTATATTATTATTTCATATATCAATGTTTCAAATAAAATTGAGAGTTTCAACTGTTAGACATTAATGAATTCGACGTAATTTATACTATATACTATGTATATATATATTTTTTTTTATTTTTGACGCTCGCAAAAAAAACTAAAACCTACAGAATTAAAAAAAAAATGTAAAAGTTATTCTCGCGCTTTCGTATACGTTATACTTTCCTCATGTTTCAGTCCCACTTTACTGTTACAATGAAATTAGAATGTGTGATACTTTCTCATAGAAACAATCATCATGTGCCGATTTAATAATCTCGATGGTAATTTCGCCGAGAGCGGAATTGAAGCGAAATACTTATTGACTCTCACCTGTATCCGGACGCGGCCGCTCCTCCCTGGATGCCGGAAGGGGCTCCACGCTGCCGTACTCCAAGGTCGCGACGTCCCCGGCGAGCGCCAGCGCTATCAGCACCGCGGAAATCGGCAGCAACGACGTCAGCAACACCGTCCGCACCGATGTCCGGCCGATGACGAGTGTCATTTTTCGGCGAACGCGCATTCGGAGCACACATACACACACGTTCTACCCCGCACTCGGATGATCGTCGTCCGCGGTCACCGCGCGTCTCGCGCGCGCGCGCGGTCACATCTTCTTCACCCCCGCGAATCTGCGGGATCGCGCGCACGGCCGGGGGTTTCACTCGCGCGCACGCGGTTCCCTCACCCGAGGGACTCGCGGCTGGACGGACGGGCGACGGAACAACGACGCGGACGATGATTTCGGAACGACTTCGCGCAACACGTTGTCGACGTTGTGCCGCGACGGTGCTCCATGTGAACTTAACCGCGCGCGCACGCCGCGTTAAATCGCGGGGAGTGTCACGTGACCTGGTCCACTGTTATTACCTTGACGAGGACGCGGATGACACACGTGGAGAACGGTGGGAAGGCGGGAAGGAAGAGTTGCACACGGCTGCTGCTGCTGTCCGTCAGCCGGTAGCGCGTGCTACCTGTTTTGAAAGAAGTGTGCGCCCGCCACACCAGCCCATGCCGCACTGCTACACCGCGGTCAGGTGTTTCGAGCGCACCGCCGCCGTCACGCGAGCGAGCCGCGACATCTCCCGAACGTTCACCGAAGCGATTGCGCGCGCGCGTGAAAACCGCGGTGTCTATCGTCACGTGAGCCGCGCACCCACGTCGTCCCGCTACGATCGTCTACCACTCCCCCCGCCGGCGTCACGTGGTCCGGCGACCCGCGGCCAATTTCATTCATGGGACACGCGCTTTTCACCTCGCTTCGCGCGGCGCGGATCTCGCGCCCGCCCGCCCGCTCGCGCATGCGTAAACGCGCGCGCGTTCCCCGCTGCACGATTATTTTATTGTCGCTTCTTTTGCATCCACTTTTGCCGATATAGACTTAACTCTCATCTCGATTTAACTTACTCCTTGTCCTATTGTGACACTTAGAAGTGGAAATATATATGATTTAGATTCCTAATATGAACATTTCCGATTCGACCTTCTGACATCTCTTTTATTAATTTCCTTATTTGAGGTGCACGCGAATTTTTAGACCCGAGAATATAATATCTAACACTAAGATTTCCAAATCTCGCATAGATATATCAACCAAATATATAAGATCCAGAAACGTAAAATTAAGAACGGAAAATTAAGAGAGGCGTCCAAACCATTATCGAAAATGGCGAGAGATTCCACCTTCCCTCGGAATGCGTCGCATCGATTCGCGACGGCGGCGGCGGCGAACGGGATTTCGCGCGAGATGTGCAGCAACCTTGGATGCTCGCCTCCCTCGCAGGGAGAGGACATGCCTGCCGGGATTCAATTAAGGCCGGTTGGGGAGAAAAAAGCCGTTGGTGCAGGAAGCGCGATGAAGTTTCGAGTGCGCGGAGCAGCGGACCGTGCCGCGACTGTCGCGAGGCGAGCCCCGTTACGCGTACGCGATAAGTGCATTGGCGTAGTGGCGCGGCGCATCAATCGAGCGAAAATCGAAGCGCGGCGCCCTTCGGCGCGCGTTACTTTAATGCCTCTAATTCCGCTCCCCTCCGCTACCGGCCCCGAATTATTTCCGCATAATCGACATTTTTGACGACCCCTCGAATCGTTCGTGGAAAGATTAAAAGAAACGCGATGATTTCGAGCGAAAGCGCGCGTTTGGACCTCTCGAGAGACTCGAATCTATATCGTCTCCTGTCTATCGCGATACCCGCGGATTTTGTTACCTGCTTGGAAAAATTTTCGACACGCGCCGTAAACGCGGCGAACAGACCGGTTAATCTGCAGCGTTTGCCTTATCGGCCTCCCTTTCTTCCTCTTTCCCTCTCCGTCCCGCCCGACTCTACCCTCTTCGTCGTCGGCGGCGGCGGCGGCGAGCGGACAGGTGGTTTGCGGTTTTCCATCCCGAGGATGAAAGACGCAGCGCGCGGTCGATGCACCTGGATCGCGCGACTCGATCGCGAATGGCGCCGCGGCGGCGTCGAGTGGCGTCGGCGTGACGTTCGCCTCGAGTCGCAACTCGCACTTCCGGCGTGAATAGGCGCGCGGGTGTCTTAAAATTATTCCACCTTGACGATTTCTATACTCGCATATTGCGCCGTCGGCATATTTTTCATGATTTCTGCGAGATTTATGGAAATCTTGATAGAGATAATGAATAAATTCTATAATGAATGCTTGTTGTGCATTATTCGTTTCTTTTTGCGATATCTAAAGAGATAAAGAAAGTGTATTTAGTATTTACTATTTTTCTTCAGATTAATCTAGAAGGCTAACTTAATTCTCTCTTTTTCTCGTAAATCTCACAAAATGGTTACGAACATAATTAAGCAATCTATTTTATTGGTAATTATTACAATTGATATCTTAATAACAATAACTCGTAAATTAACCTATAATTAATAAGGAATGTGCGATTTTCCATGCTAATTAGAAAAATATTTTATCAAATGGATTTAATCGATAACAACTCGAATCATAAATTAGCTTCTAATCGATGCAAAATGCAATTCTCCATGCTGATTAAAAGAAATATTTTATTGGATAAGATTCAATCGATAAGAGCTCATAAATCAGCCTCTATTAGATCTGTAATCATAAGAAATGATTGGAAAATCTCGGCTTTCAACAAGAATAGGAGTATAAATAAGATATATATATATATATATATGATTATAAATTTAACGGAATTATTAAATTTCTAAATTTACAGACACGGATGTCGTCCGTGATCAAATTGACAATTTTCGGAATCTGCACCTCTGTGAATCTTATAGCACACTCGATCACTACTAAAAAAAAATTCGACTATATACCATAATTAAAATGCTCATTTATTAAGAGCTCATAAATTAGCCTCTATTAGATCTGTAATCATGAGAAATGGTTGGAAATCTCGGTTTTCAACAAAAATAGGAATATAAATAATATATATAAGATTATAAATTTAGCGGAATTATTAAATTTCTAAATTTACAGACACGGATGTCGTTCGTGATCAAATTGACAATTTTCAGTATCTGTACCTCTGTGAATATTATAGCACACATCACTCGACATCACTACTAAAAAAAAAATTCGACTATATACCATAATTAAAATGCTCATTTATTGCTTGCTAATTTATATGCTCTAATCGCGAACTTTTTTTTAGTGATGGGGATGCTAGGTTCATCACAGAGATATCGGGATCACCACGTGGGTATGCAACGCAGAAATGAATATAAACATTCCGAGTGCTGGAAGTTCGAATGGAAGCATCGCCTTCCGTCGAGAGCGAATAAATGGAAAGACATTAGCTGCGCTCACATTACTGGTTACCGCGCGCTCTCGTCGGGAGAGCGAAATTTATTGCATCAAATTGATTACAAAATATGCCATAAGTCTCGCTCGATTTACGATCGGCGTTGGCGGTGCATACCCTTTGCAATGTTACACAGGGTGTTCCAACTTCACTGCCTCCCTCTCTCCCTCTCTCTCTCTCTCTCTCTCTCTCTCTCTTTCTTTCTTTCTCTCACTCTGTCTCTCAAACAGAACAAAAAATCATGATGATATCAAAATGGCATCAGAATGATTTCAAAATGATTATTAATACTTATTATTAAGTTATTTTTCCATGAGTCACGATTCATTTTAATGTCACTTTGACGTTATCGTGTCCTATTGTTCTGCTTGGGTACGCTCCAATTTTTACTTTCCACCACGATTACATCAAGCAACACACGAGATAACAGGAATATCGCATTCCAGCCAATTTCAAATGTCAAATTGTTGCTCCAACAGAGAGGCGCGCGGGAAATATTTAAGCGAAACGAAAAAACGTCACCGAGAAATTTTTATCGCGGTCGCCGAGGAGCTCCTCTCCGCGAGAGGAATAAATTAATCTCGCATTCATCCAGGAAGGGAAGATGCCCCGGGAATGCCTCGGGACCGCTGCGTAAGACGCGCGTAATATACGAGAGCGCGTATACGTGCGGCTAAGTATTCATACACATACGCGATGCATCATGCGGTCACGCGGAATTTAACGCAACGTACGTTTATTCACGTGCAGGCGAGCCGAACCCCGGTGGCGGCGCGACGGCGCGGCAGTTTGTCAATGCGCGTACCTACGCCCGCCGAGAGGGACTTAATTAAAAATCGAGTTCGCCGCGGAATACCGCACCGGAGAGGTGGAATAAATTTCAGACGCACGGGCCATTAATTAGAACGCTATCGCGCTACCAGCACGACGCTGCGCTTTCGTGTTCGCGTTTGCGATCGGAAGGAGTCCTTTGATGGAAAATATATTCATTACGCCTCACGTGCGGTCGGCGACGATATTTAAAATATTACAAACGTGACAGTAATTTTGCAATAATAACTTAAAACGACAACAAAGATCGGAGAACACGTATTGGTTTCATTTTATGCATAATCTTTATTTTAATTCACAGAGAAGTTCCAGCGAATTTTATTCACACACTTGCGGTATACGTTAGAAAATTATATTTTCTAATTTTAGTATTTTTAGAATCTCTCGACATTATATTCTTAATTTCATTTTTGAAAGGAAATATTACGATCACGATGCCGAGAGAAAATTAATTTAGTTCATTTAAAGAGATAATAACTTTGAGATTAATTCCGGTTTAATTATTGTGCACGCAAAAATAACTTGATTAAAATAAAAATTACATAAAAATCTCATTACAACGTAGACAATAATAAGCACCGTGAAACAGATTTACAAGAATGTGCTTGAATCACTTGCGTGTTTTCCCACATTTTTTTAAAAGTCGCTTTAAGCATTAGCAAATTACAGTAGATATTGGCAAAATCAAAAAACAGGAAATTTCATAGAATAAAATATCCGTTAAAATTATCAATTTATCATATATCGAATATTAGTTAAAATATTCGATATATGATAAATTGATATCAATCTTCTAACAACTATAACAATGTAGTCGATACAGAAATACGTAAAAGAAAGACGTCTATTGAATTGTTATATTGATGAAGTAATATATCCGTTCGAAGCTAAACGAAGGAAAATTTTTAGAATTCGGTGAGCGGCTGAAAAGATCCCGGCTGCTCGAACACTCCTATACGGCTGGAAGAAATGCATACGCAATGTGCGTTTCATATATCGTGCGATCGAGATCAGGCAGCGAAAAAAAGGCCGTTTCACCCGGGATGCCGTAACGTAAGAGCGCGTTCGGGGCACGTTTTACAGCGGGCGTCCTCCCGAGTATTCTCCGCACGCGGTATCTCGCCGTTGCGATCTGGCGCACATTGTGCGTGCCTAGAAAAGTTCTCTTAAGCGTGCGCGGCATTGTTTCGCTCGCACCGGCGATTTTACACACGCCGGCGAAAAGCTATGATTTACGCAACGGCGCGCTTATAGGCGTGCCTTTAGCACGGTCAGGTTTTTAAGGGCCCCGCCGAGAAACAGGACTTTCTTTCCATTCTCTTGAATTGTCGGTACACACGTGGACCGTGTGAAAATTTCTTCCGCGGCACTTTACGTCAGTATCTCAGAGGAGTTCAAATTCGCGAAGGGAAGAATAAAGATTCTATGTTCAAAAAAGAAATAAATAAACTTACATCATTAAACAGATAAATTGTAATAAACAGGTGATAGCGTGCTGCGCAAGGAGAGATGCAAAGAGAGAGAGAGTTGTGCTGGTGCTCGAGGTAAAATGAAGCAATGACCTTTTGCCGAGAATTACTTAATCTGCAACAAAGGAAATCTTCAATTACTCGAAGATCTTCGTCGGTGGAATTGCTAATTTCCTTACAGTTTGGAAATCAATGCAAGGTCACATCGACATTTAGCAATCGGGATTGCCAAAGAATCGTCCCCCCGCACAATTTCCAGGATTGTATAGAAAAAGATCGGTTGCGCGCGCTCATCCACGTTCAATTGTAGCGCATAATTACCGTCATTTTTTCCTTGCCCTCGCGCACGGAACGTCTTCCTGTATTGCGCTTCGCGACGGAGCGTCCGTTCGATACGCCACAAATCCCGCTCACGTACATTGCAATCTAATAAAAGTGTAACGCACGACAAACTTATAATTTCCACGGGTGTTGGCGATCTTTCAAAATCCACCTGTGTGCCGGTCTTTTTCGTAATGCAGCATTGCGCAAAATAATCAAAGAGAGCGATTTTACGAAAAAAAAAAAGAATGTTCTTTGTGATATATTTAATATATTCTAAAAACATAAATTTAAAATATTATTACGAAGAAACTTATCATATAGAAAAAATTATAATTACGAAGAAAATTATCATATAAAAAAAATTATAATTAATATAACTGCAATTAATATATTGTAAAAATTAAATTTCTTATACGAAGAACATTTTAAAATTTACCCTGAAAATTTTGTTAATCATGGGACAACATAGTATTTCGACAAATTTTACTGTACACTACAATAAATTTGTTGTAGTATATATTTAAAAAAATAGTGAAAATCATATAAAATTCATCGTAATACTATGTTGTCCTACGATTAACATGATTTTCAGAGTAAATTTTAAAATAAAATTCTCTCCGTGTACGATTTAATAAACAAAAGTAAAAAAAGTCTTTATCTAAGCAAATACTGAATATAAGTGAATATTTTTTTTACAATTTATTTCCTCGATCGGAATTATTGCCGCGCATAAAATATTGTTTAAATGAAAATAAAGGACAGATTAAGTTGATGCTTCTTTGATTAATTCGCCAATTCAATCGAAATGCAATAATACGTTGAACAATACGTGGCACAATGCCCAACAGATATTACCTGCTGCGATATCATACAAAATAGGTATTGCGAGCGTTACCGATGGCTAGTGAACGTTGAGAAATGCCGTTTGAATAATATCCTTAACAATAATTGCATCGGTCACGAAGAAGAAAGCGTCGTCCCCAATGAATTGTTGCATTCATTGAACCGATTAATCCCTTTGCTCGCAAACGTCGCAACCGTGCTTCTTCACAAGATGGTTCTCGAGCACTGAATAACAACGACGAAAAAAAACAATCAGTAGACAACGATTTAGTAAAATAATTTTAATAATTTAAGCGCGTTCTCTGTAAAACAATGATGATTCAATATGATACAACAAACTGACATATCTTAAGATAAACTTGGAAGAAACGTAACTCGGTAAAAATACAATATGTAAATGCTTTCAATGGCATACTTGATACTTAAGTGTCAATCAGTTTGAAAAAATGCGATCAGTCCAGTGTGTGCAAACTATATTACATTACAATATGTGGCAATGGCAAGCGAAACACCCGGAAGGTACGTAAGTACGCATGAAGGGATGCGGCGGTTGCGCCGGGTCCAGGTTCAAGGAGTCCTCGCTCTCGTCGCTCAATTCCCCGATGCTGAACGTGTCTGTGAGATCCTGTTTGTGCTTCGAGGAATCCTTCGATTTCGCCGGAAAGAGAGTCATTTCGTCCTCACTACGGTCACACAGTAAACGGAACGATTAACGAATTAATTAAACGCATCGATTAAAACTTGATCACGTACAGAGATTTTCCGTCGATACGTGTCGATATCATCTGGCAATTCTTTATGTATTTACGATCGTTTCATACCTTTCACTTTCGCTGTGCCAGTATTCGACTAGAGGCAGGTGCTCCTTATTTTTATGTGGTATAGGCAATCTCTGAATTGATATCAACCCGGCAGAACTGCTTGCATTTTCATTGTCGTACTTTGGAAGTTTTATGTAATCCGAGTTGCGTTGAATTCGTTTTGCCTGTTCGATGCGTGTCTCTGCAGAGCAATATTATTACATGCATAATTACGAGTAGCACAACACATAAGTCACAGTAATCAAAGGCAACGTTGAAATAAAAATGATAATGAAGAAGCCAATAGATTGTTTCAGTACCCAGTTTCTTTTGCAACTGTTTCGTTGTGCTCCGTTGAGGAACCTGCGTGTGGTTGCTGCTACAACTGCTATCACTGCCCTACAAAAGATTAAGATATTTTTATACCATTAAACAATTACTGATTTGAATACATAAATCATTATTTAAATCTCTTATATATTATAACGTCACAATTACAGATTCCTCTGTCAGACAAGTCTAATGACAAAAGTGTCTCATCTGTCAATCTGTTTATCAAGATGGGTATTTACCAAGAAGAGTCTCTCATCCTCAACGTGGTTAACGGCTTTGGGATCACTGTCAATACCGCTATCTTCCATGATTCAAAACATTTGGAAATATAGAAGCTCCTCTGATCGTTAATTTATCTGAAACAGAAAGAAATGTGTTTGCATTATTTATTTTGCAGCTTACCAAATATTTAAAAAAAACCAACATAAAAACTGAAACGTCTTAAACCTGAAACACACATTACAATTGACAACACCACTGTACTGTTAACAAATGCTGGTACTCAGGCAAGTGATAAGAGAGGTTGAACATATGTCACACAGTTTTTCTGTATCATATTGGAATTTTCGGAACTTAACAGCATACATATAACATCCCTGTTATGAAAATTGTTATAAACTAATGGTTTACAGACTCTAACGAATGATATTCGTACAATTCTATGCGATAATTGTCCTGCAACTTGTTGGAGTGCTCACATCATACGTGGTATAGTCCATTATTGATTTTCTCCATAGGATAACCCCAAAGAGAAAAGCATGCTTGTCCAAAGTCGTCCCCGATGTCGCGACAGAAAGGAACTAGCGTGACAGTGTTCGAAATATCGCGTACGAACTGAATTATGCAAATTTCGAGCGTTTTATATCCTTGGCAACTTTACCAGCTACACCGAACTGTTACATGTCACTATACGACATGTAACACGTGTATTAAATACAGAGTTGTAAAATTATATATATATATATCATAATTTCTATATATTAAATACAAAAATGTAAAACAGCTGTAAATTTACTCATAAATTGTCAAGTGAAGAGAGATTCGATATCTGAGAATTAGAGCATGGCAACATCGAATTAAAATCATATACAGATTGACATTGCCATCAAGGTCTGGCGTATCCTAGGAGACTGTAACAGACTTCTCAGTGTTGAGCGATACACGAGAAAAGAGTATTTAGAGTTTTTATCTCTGTTATATCTTTATTTTATCATAACATATTTACAAATCATTGAAAAACAATATTCTTGAGTTGTAAAATAGAAATATAGAAATAAAATTTCACTCTGATTGGAACAAATAGAACAGCGCCAGGCAGGATAGAGTTTGCTCTTCCTCATCGTTAATAGTAAGTCGCATTGTATATTAAAGAACATATAATTGAATGCAATATTCATATTTATAACAAAACACCAAGAGAGAGGTAATTTCCAGTTTCAGCTGAATTGCCAGAGACTGTTGCAGTTGCTGTGGTATATTAAAAAAAAAAACAATGGCACCGACAATACCTAAAAAGATGCCCTCCAAAATGTCAGAGACAAGTAAAGAGGTACATATTATCATTATAACATTATTAATAAAAATCAGTAATCATCATCATTTGGAGAAATCATATTGGAGAAATTTAAAAAAATCAAAATTTTATAGCATTTATCTTTAGCGAAGAGTCATGTATCGCGACAAGATTTGGGCGCTGGTGACATGGATTGGATGCGAGGAAAGGTTTTGTTGCGACCAGAAGATCAATTGACGTTAACGGAAGCAGTACGTTTAACGTTCTCTCTCGACTTTTCTCTTGGATAGTCCTATATCTGTAATTATTGTCCCAGGAATTACAAGAGGAACTCGCCAGAGTGCTAACCATACATAATACCAGGATACCAGACTCCTTAATCGAATGGTCGTGGAAACAGCGTCAATTTATAAAACTGCCTCCTCCACCGCATTTGGTAACTCTTCTGAATATAGCCGGCACTGTACTGCACAAAGATTCCGAAGAAGCCAAAGTGCAATTGGCAGGAGGAAGAATTGGTAAAAGTCTTGTTTTGTTTACTGCAATAATTTATATACAATTAAATGAAATAATTATGTAATCACACGAATGTAATTTCACATGCAGTCGAGGAGGAGACGGATGAGAAATTAAAACGTGATAAAGCGGAGGAAGAGGCAGAATATGAAGAAGAGGAAGAAGGTAGGTATAGAAGACAATGCCAGTTATATATATATGACTTAACAAATCACGCATTTGACATTCTCGCGTATATTTTTTTTTTAAATAAAAATATAAATCACGCATATTCCATAAGAACAGTAGAGGAAATAGATAAAACGGTGGAGGCGCTAGCCGAGGCTGAACGTGAACACGAGTTGGAAGCCGAGCCGGAGCCTGAGGAAGATGAAATAGAAAAAGCAAAGCCCAAGAAAATACCTAATCAATTCAACTTCTGTGAGAGAGCGGCATTGACATATGATAATCCTATGAGGGCATGTATATTATATTTTTTGCTATGTATCAGATATACATATTTAAGCATTATAAAGCTTTTGCTTAGATACAGAAAATAAATCAAATATAGATATAAATCAGAAAATAAATATATTTTACAGGACATGAGCACACAAACTATACCTCCGCCTACCGCGACTTTCAATGCCGATGTCTTTCAATGGACCATCTTTGACGAATATCAGGTACAAGAAGTTCTCTTCTAATTATAAATAATTTACGTGTTCGACAGAACATTATAAATCCATTTCATATTATATTCAGGATGTTGCAAAATAATATATTTGTATAAATATATTATTTTACATATATATATATATATATATATATATATATATATATAAATACGTAACATTTATGTTTAATTGTAAGAGACACATAAGTAGAGAAATATTCTACAAGTCTCAGTCAAATAAAAAATATTATACAAGTCTCAATTTCTTTATTTTGCTGACAGGAAGACTATGCTCAACAACAACGCGAGAAGGAGAAGGAGAAGAAGGCACCGTTGGCACCGCCAAAGAAAGAAGACGTGAAGAAGAAGGCTCAGATAGAATCTACAGCGATGACAAACAGAATGTTACAAGCTGCAAAGACATTAGAGCGAATGGTGAACCAAAACATTTTCGACGATATATCGCAAGGTGGGTCTCCTGACTCTTTGTTCGATGAAATCTCAGTCTCAATATATTTCCTCAATTGTTATTAGATTATAGATACTGGGACGATCCGAGCGACGAATTCAAGGAAGGCGAAGGCTCCTTATTACCTTTGTGGAAATTTTCTTACGAAAAGACTAAGAAACATGACATCACGGACATATGCTTCAACAGCAGATATTACGATCTCTTTGCAGTCGCCTTTGGATCACGTTAGTATAACACACGTATTTTCAATCCTTCTAATGTTCAGGCTGTAAACGAGAACTGTAATGTATGTATTCCAGTGTCATTTAACAGTCCAATAGCAAATGGCACGGTGTGCTTATTCAGTTTGAAGAATCCGTCGTATCCGGAATGGATTTGTCCGACAGAATCTCCCGTGATGTGCCTAGACTTTAACGCCCAACATCCTCATCTTTTAGTTATCGGTATATAATAATACTATTAAATAATACTATTTCAAATATTTAATTGCACTATATAGAAATTCATTTAGAAGTATAAACGTTTTCACTGAAAATCTTAAAGTGAAATATTTGCATTAGTTTGCAATCTATTTTCTAAAATGGTAGTTATTATTGTATATTAATTAACTAAAGGTACCATGGACGGAGCTGTGGCGGTTTATAACGTAATGTTACCGTCGTCCACACCGCAATACAAAAGCAACGACGTTGTGCAGAAGCATGGAGGGTTAGTATGGGAGGTCCGTTGAATTCTTTAACTTTAATACTTTATGACAAAAATTATACCGAAAAAATTCCCATAAGAAATTTTCAATGTAATTGAAAAAATATATATATACCGATTACAGATTCGTTGGGCGCCTGACACAGAGGAGGGAAACCTGGCGTTCTTCAGCGTCAGTATCGACGGTAAAATAAATCACTGGGTGTTAAACCAGAACGATCTCGGCCTGACCACCGTTATGACGTTATTCCTGGACCGGCCACCTATACCGGGACCAGATGGCACGATGATCACGCTGAAAGGTAACGCCAGGCAAATAATAAAGGGAAATCGAAGATCGTCGTCGTCGTCTCGTGACGATTATGCAAACCGTTTTTTTTTTCAATCCAGGCTGCGGAACGTGCATCGCATTCCATCCCGCCGATCAGAATGTTTTCCTGGTGGGCACGGAGGAGGGCACCATGTACAAATGCAATACAGCGTACAGCAGTATTTACATGAGGACGTATCACGAGGCGCATACCATGCCGGTGTATCGGATAGTTTTCAACAAGTACAACTCCAGCATCTTCGCCAGCTGTTCAAGCGACTGGCGGATCAAGATCTGGGAAGACGAAAGATCGTAAGTTACACAAGTTCCATAATTGCACAAGTCTCATTACAATAAACAATAATTACACGTAATACTGCACACAGAGAACCTTTGTTCATGTTCGATCTGGGTGTTCCGATCGGGGACGTTCAATGGGCACCGTACAGCTCCACGGTGCTGGCTTGCGTGTCAAACGATGGCAAAGTTACAGTGTTCGACTTGAATGTTAACAAGTACAGGCCGATCTGCAGTCAACAAGTCGTCAGTAAACGAAGAAGCAAATTAACCCGATTAGCCTTCAATCGCGCCTTGCCGTTTATATTAGTCGGCGATGACAAGTGAGCAATATTGTCTACATTTTTAATGAAAAGAAAGCTTGTACAATTTTAAAGTAACTCGTGTAATTTTTAATTCGCTCATTTGACATCTAATTTCGCAGAGGTACCGTGAATACGCTGAAATTGTCGCCAAATTTACGGATAAAGGTGAAACCAACGAAGAAGCAAATGCACTTGTCGCACGCGGAATTAGAATCTATGAAATTGGAAAAGTTGCTCAGCTTCGTGCGAGAGCCGCCGGTACTGACTCCGCCTAAAGACGTGAGAACAGTCACTTAAAAACTGAACGAATGAGAACAGGGATGTCAACCTTTTGTAAACAACAGTGCTTTATTTAATATTTGCTATAACAGACGGATACATATACATATCTATATTTTTACAAATAAATTGGCACTATAATTATGCAATAGAGAGATCAAATAGTTCTACGAAGTAGTTTATGTACCTGAACTCTTATTGCCGGAAAAAAAAACACCGTTGTAACAAATGGAATAATAAGAGAAGTGGAGCAACTCACCGCTTGATACAACGAAATTAAATAAATCGATTTCAATTAAAAATATAATTCAGATAAAATATATATGATTTATACAAACGTTTTAAACGTAATGTCATAATTTTTTAAACAGACATAACTTTTATTTTTGAACGCTTTTCCGTTCTCTTTAAAAAGTTACGATTTTGATTGCAAAACTTGAACAATCAAATTTCTACTATATAAATATTTATGAAATATTTTTCACGTTTTATAGTTCAAGATACATCATTAAATGCTTCTATCTCACAAATAAAATATTTTTAAATATTAATAAGATGTCTCTTTTTTTAATATTTTTCATATTAAATATTTTTTAATATTATTCATATTAAATCTCTAATATACTCCAGTACTGTAGTACCCACTAATAAACAATAATAAATCTAGAAAAAAAAAAGTTAGTGTACAATAAAAATGTGTTGAAAAATGTGGTCAACATCTATAATCTACAAATCTAGTTAAAAATACTAAATTTATTTGGCACGATGTATTAATAGGTCAAATTCATGCAAGAAAGAAGTTTGTGACTTTTAATATTACAAGCCGAGTTGTTCAAAGATGTAGATAACATTCGATAACAATTATTTGTCATTATCTCTTACTAAAGTAGGGTCCGAATAAGGCAAATAGAAATGTTTCGCAAGTCATCTCCGTAGATGAGAGACATTGTCAAATTGTAATTTTTACTTGGATATTAACGTTTCTTCATGCATAGATATAATTTCTAGTATCGTTAGATACGTGTGTAATGTTTCGGTACAGTTATCGATTACGATAGCGATAAATAAACGCGAACTTGACACTTGGAGCACCGATTTTTCCGAGCTTCCCGATTAAAATCGGGCAACAATACGCCGTGTTATAAATCGCTATCGCGATTAATCTCGCACGACTATTAATCGGGACTAATCAAAGACAAATCTACCAGGTAACTCCGGATTCTCTATCACTCCCTTATAGTATTTAAGCTCTAGGAAGTCTCTAATGTTATTTGGACATGGCACTTGTCTACCGGCGAACTCGATGCTCGACATCGGATGGAGGAAGTGCTCGGGGAAGTCCCGGTTCTTCAGGAACCACGCGTCCTTGACCATGGATCCGTTGCGCGCGAAGAACGGCAGCAGATTCACATGCAAGCGATTGATCCTGGAGTACTGTACCTTGAAGAACTCGCCCTCGGTCGCCTTCTCCCATATGAAGCCGTCGTCGTCCACGACCGGCTTGCTCCTGGCCCTGATCAGCCACGGCGATCTCGCGAGATCGTCGCGGTTCACCCCGATTTGCACCTCGTGATCCCACGGTAGAATGTCGCCGTGCCTCATCGCGCCCAGCAGCGACTGGCCCTCCAGCCAGAATCGTATGCCCACCTCCTCGAGCTTGTCGATAACGTGATGGGTGACCTTCCGCAAGCCGGCCAGGCAACAGGGCGGCGTGTATCGATGCTGGTAGAGATACGACGGCACGCCGTTTATCACCGAGCCGAAACACCTCGCGGTCTCCCGCGAGCAGCCGTACCACTCCACGGCGCCGGAAGCCCTCGTGACCCTCTTTATCCCCAATTTCTCGAACATCAATCGCTCCCGCGTGCGATACAGTTGCTGCACCCTCGACTGCGCCTGTTGGTTTCTGTACAACGGCTTTCCCTCATTGAATTGATAGCTTTTCAGTATATGTACCTAACAACACGTTGTGTTTCAATAGATATATACATTTGTTTTATTATAAATATTCATTCTAAGATAAATTTGAATCTCTTTCTGACGCGAAAAAACGAATAACGGAAACAATAATTCTTAAAGGAAATACATAATAAATAAAAAAAAGTACTTACCAAATTAAAAGATTTAAAAACAAAAATTTCTACACAAATTTATTTGTTCACTGACACGAGAACACAACTGAAGATCAAATATTCACAAATTAATCACAAAATCCTTGCGTGTAAATATTAACGATTACATATTTAATTACATAAATCCAATTGAATACAAATAGCAGAATCGCATTCAATGTCACACAAAGACAGATCAATAAATTATATTTGTGAAATAAAACAGAAGATAAATAATTATCTTAAATTAGACAAAATGGATTACCTTTGCACCAATAGCTGTTGTTTGAATGTACAGCGCGTCTGTGAAGGGTAGCAGGAATGGATCCGACAGTCTTCTCAATATCTTGGCCTCGAGCATAGTTACATGTTTGCCCATTACACTGTCACATTCCGTTGCCGTAACTCGCGCTATCCTCAAACTCCACTCTCTCACTTTTAAATCCAACTCGAGACAGTGTAAGACTATCTTTCCCACTGGTACAACAACTATCCCCAGATTTGACACCTGCGTGACAGCCTCCTGCAAGACGTACATTAAGGGAACCAATGAATATTACATGCAACGCATTTTCTCACGTATCCGCAAACGAGAAGGATCTCTACCTGTACAACTTGCTTAGTCGACAGTCTCGTTGCGTCCGGCAGGAACAGAACGAACTTGGTGCGTATGTAGAAGAGCGGATTCCTCTCCTCGACGGACTTGTTGAACTCGGGCCGCAGGCTGATCAGCTTGACGTTCCTCATGCTCTCGTTGGCGAAGTCCAGCTCCAGCGGCGGGTACGGCAGCTCATCGCAGACTATCAAGACGGGTATCTCGGGGAAGGAGCTCAAAACTGACTCCACCATGGACGCCACATCGTTTTCGAAGTTCTCGAACTGCCGGATGACGATGGTGACCAGCCGGGCCAGGCGACGGTGGAGCTTCTGCGGCGGCTCGCTCGTCGCGGCGCTCGGCGTCAGCAGGCCCAGGGTGTTCTGCGCCGCGAACAGCCGCCATAGGCTGTGCCAGACGATGATGTTGCCGAGGAGCGCGAGGACCAGGAGCGCCCGGACGAATTTGAGGCGCATTATTTTAACGGCGCGCGACACGGTCGCATCTTATTGTACGCGTTGCCTCCCACAGCGTCGTCTCCCGGTGTCGAGCGTCAGCCACGGCGACGAGCTTCGTTCGACAGGTTCATTCCCGCCGTCATGCTGGAAACGACGAACGGACTTACGCGCGGCGGGTCATCTCACGCGCTCGACCCCACGAGCATCTCTCACGTCATTGCGATGTTAACGAGTGCGCGAATGAAGCTTCATTGCCCGCGGTGGCCGCGCGCGGTAAAGGCCGGACGCCCACGAAGCGGTCGAGCGGGTCGAGTCGACTTTTGAGGTTAGGGTGCGCCAGCTTGGTTAGCCGAGTTTGCTATCCTCTTTTATCATGCGAGCTATATAGTGACATATAACACATAACATATATTAATTGGAAGATTTACGGATACTGTTTCTCGAAACGCACATTTTTAATGAGAATCGAGAAAAAATATGTATGTACGTATACATATATAAATATAACTATTAAAAAATAATGCCAATAAGATTGAATTAATTATACGAAGGTCGTTTTAACGCTATATAAATTGCAACCTGACGTAATCGTCGAGGCGCACGAATTCGCATGCACGGATGGAAGCGTACCTAATTGATCTCGTACTGTAAATTAACGTAATTGTGCTTGATTGAAGAGGGGCGATCCTTGACCTCCTTCCCTCTCCATTGCGCGCTGGCCAGCATTTTGAAAGCATCTATAATGATCGTTTATATGAATCATCAGCTCCTTTAAAAAAAGATCCGCAAAATTAGAATATTATAAAGCTCTGATTTGATTAACATAATTAAGGCAATTAACTTATCAAGTTAGCACACATGTCGTATCGCGTGAATGTGAAGAGGTTTTTATTTTTTGACGCATAGAATTAAATTCATTTAAAGATCAGCCAATGAATTAATAGCTGGAAATTTCGCAAGCAAACGTTTCCGCCGGTCAATAAATTAATCGATTAAAATTATCTAATTAAAATTAATCTAGTACATATAATTATACAGTTAGATTACCTCGATTCTCTGAAATCAAATGTCCGTGTGGAAGTAGGAAAATTGGAAAATACAATACGTACAATTGGAACTCGTTATAAAATATGTTTGTTCTTAATTAATACCAATATTAGATGGAAAAGTTAATTAACTAACGCAATATTCTTTTAATTCTCATGCAGAATAAAATTACCGCGTCCTGCGTGCGCAAAAATTATTCGAGGAACATGAACGGAGAAAAAGTGACGCGAGCCGCGAGCCGGAAAGATATAATGCGTCTCTCGAAAGCTTCGAAAGATCGTCGGAGTTACGCGGGGAGCATGTCGAGGTGGGAGGTGTGACTCTCTCGGGAGATGGCGACGCGCGTCGTACGAAATGTCGTAAATACGTATACACGCGTCGTACGGTATGTCCTTCGAGTCCCGAGAGCTTCGAAAAATCGTCGAGGTTATCCGGGGATCATGTCGTGGTAGGCGGCCTCGGTAGAACGGCGGGCGCGTGTCGTAGATGCATGTATATATACGTCGCGCGGCATCCGAGAGCTTCGAAAAATATCAGAGGACATCGAGGGCGCACGTTGAGCGAGGAGGTCGTCGAAATAGGGAGCTGCCAGTCCGGCGCGCGCGGTACAGGCACGTCGCGGCAGTCCCCCCTCGGCCCACCCCCTCCCCATCCCCCCGAAGTTACCGCCGCTCGTACTTTCTCGCCGTTATGACCGCCTGTTGACCCCGACGATTTTCGGAGCTCCCAAGAAACGCGTATTCTAACCTCGCTAACTCTCGACACCGCCTGCCCCAACATGCTCGCCCGGTCACCGACGATTTCCCGAGGCTCACGAGAATATATTCATGCCAGGGCGTAATTAGCGCTTATTAGCATACGTTATCCCTCGTGCGAGCCTTGTAACGTACAAGCCGTGGACACGCCGGTTGCGACACCCTTTTTTTTTATAGGTTTCTAATATGTATTTAATGTACATAATGTACACTTTATAGATAACTAATATTTTGCAAATGCGAACCGCGATGTTTACTATCTTCAGTCCAGAGACAGTGTAACACCGATCGTGGTCCGCATTTGCAAAAATATTAATTAGTGCGTTTTGAAACCTATAAAAAAGAGAGTGTCGCAACCGATGTGTCCATGACTGGTACGACTAATGTATGCCTCGCACATATTTATACGCACATATTACCATATACATTACACACTCCCATACGGGTTGCACATCAGCTCAAGTTTTATTTCCCGTCTCCCACTTGTCAACAGCTATTACGGCGCGCGATTGTTAACATTAATTAACAATTGAGAGAAAAATCAGTGTCACATCTCCTCGACCCTCGTGAACGCGCTCCATAAATCAATTTACGCCGCTATTGTCAGAATTGTACTCTCATTTCGGATCGCACGCGAGAAAATAGTTACAAACGAGGCCCTCCTCTCCCCCCCTCCCCCCCGCCTGGATTCGAAGCGAGAACTTCCTAGCGACCGCGCGCATTGCTCTTCCGCGCGGCGGAAATTCCTAGATTTCCTAGCGGCTCGCAGGGCTGGCAGTGGCTGGCAGGCCCGCTTCTCCTCCGTCGTCGACTCCACGTTTCGCGTTGCTCTCCTCGAACGTCAAATCCCGGGGCCCCGCCGCGGCGCGCGACGTGCGTCTACGTGTGTGTGTGTGTGTGTGGGTGTGTTGTGCTGTGCTTTGCCTCTGCTCGTCGTCTCCTCGTCGGCGCGGAGTGAAACGCAGACTCCTCGGGCATGCCGCTGCACCGGTACACGCACGCGATCCTCTGCCGGATCCCGCTGTCGCTGCGCACGCGGGGCGAGGTGACGCTGGACGAGGCCAGGACGCAGCACCTGGCCCTGGCGCAGCTCCTGCGCGAGCTCGACATCGACGTCGTCGAGATGCCGCCCGACGAGAACTCGCCGCTCTGCGTATTCGTCGAGGACATCGCCGTCGTCTGCAACGGCATCGCCCTGATCGCCCACCCGAGCGAGCCGTCCCGCCTCAAGGAGGTAATGTAACATACATACATAATACAGCCGGATCTTGTTAAAGTTACTGCGTGACAATTGACTGACGGTTTGGGGGTTTATGGTGCACGGGAAATTGAGAAAATTAATACATATGAATACATCAATTTATACGTAATTGTAGAGAAAGACGGAGAGAGATGCAGGACAAAAGAGTCCCTACAATAGTAGCAAAAAGTTAAAGGACTGATTTTGACGAATATGCTCTTCTCATATAATTTGAGTAATAAGGATTGTGCAAAATGTTATCATTTATTCAGAACTAGAGTGCAGAAATGCTTCTGTTGCTTTTTTCCTGAGAATTTTCGAATTCTATGGCCAAATCTAAAGATCGGAAGAGCACACGTCTGAACTC